AAGCTGATTAAACTTAGGAAAGAAAATGAAGACAAAATCATGTCAGAAATGAAGACTTAACTGTAACATGTCAAAGAAGAAACAGATTCAAATGAAAATTTAATAAAGAATACTGAATAAAAACAGAAGTGGGGGAGAAGGATAAAAATAACATCCAGAAAGAAGTAAAAAGGCTCAGAGTCAAAATGGTTGAAATTAAAGGCAGGTGAAAAAGGTCCAACATACATATAACTGAAGTCCTTGAAGAGCAATAACAAGACAATAAAACAGAGCAATAATTAAAACTATAAAACTGTAAGTTTTTCCAGAAAGAAAGCCCTGAATCTCTTAAAAGGGCCAAACTAGAATTGGAATCAACAATGGGATCAATTCAAGACCTACTAAAGAAAACCACTGGAGTTTAAGGGAAAAAAAAAAATCCTGAGTCCCCTTGAAGAAAGATCAAATAATTTACAAAGGGACAAGAATTAGGCTGGTTTCAGATGCTTAAAAAATAAATAAACAAAACTAGGTTTCACTTGTCTTTAGTCCTAAAAACCAAATCTCCTGCCTATGCACTATTAAGTCATACATATATTCTGCAAATCTTAAAAAAGGTTTAGAAACAAACAAAAAGGCGTATTTTCAAAGGAAGCAAACAATCTGTGGCTTTCCCGGATTTTCTGGGTCTCTACCCTGAGGTAAGACCGTGGCAGTCTCTGTGGGCATGGGGGTGATGAGCAGCTCAACCTCTGACAGGAGAACTTGCTGTCTTTCTAGCCAAAGGAGCCAGGGGGAGGGGCGCTGGCAAGGAGGGCCACCAGAGAATGAGGCTAGGATCCAGGAAACAAGCCAGAGAAGAGGAACCTCAAGTTCCGAGCAGAAAAGACCACTTCCCTGGCTGACCCGTTGACCTCCATGTACATAAAGCAAACCGGTATCAGCCTGTGGCCAAGGCTTAACGAACTGAATGAATCTAAGGAAATGTCCACCACAGGTCTTAGATTGACATTCTGCATTTTAAAGCTAAACAAGTTAACTGCGTGTTAAAACAGAATCTACAATCTTCAGAACAGTATAAGGGAATGCAGAATCTATATAACATTAACAGTGTCTAATATAAAACCTTAAGTTAAAAGGTCACATTAAGAGCCAGAAAAGGGGCTCCTGGGTGGCTCAGTCGATGAAGCGTCTGACTTCGGCTCAGGTCATGATCTCACAGTTCATGGGTTCAAGCCCCATGTCGGGCTCTGTGCTGACAGCTCGCTCAGAGCCTGGAGCCTGTTTCAGATTCTGTACCTCCTTCTCTCTCTGACCCTCCCCTGCTCATGCTGCCTCTCTCTCAGAAATAAATAAAACATTAAAAAATAAATTTAAAAAAAGAGCCAGAAAAATGCAACACATTCCTAGGGAAAAAAACAATCAATAGACACCAATCCTGAAATGCTGGAATTATTAGTAAAGGTGATTAAAGTATGTAGTCATCATACTTTGCAAAGGAACAGAAAATACACATGTAAGGGATGTCAGGAAAGGCAAAAATAGAAATCTCAGCTGAAAAACAGAACATACATAAGAAAACCAACTGGAAATGTCAGAACTGAAAAATACATGAAATAAATTTACTAAATAGACTTAATGACAGAATGGAGTTAGTTGATGGAGAAAAGAGTCAACGAACATGAAGGAGGATCAACGTGAAGGAAAAAAAAAAAAAAAAGACTAGAGAAACAGGAGGGCATCAGGGCCAAGTGGAGAAATTGCAAAGGCTGTATTACACAGCAGGGATTTGTAAACTAAGGCCCACAGACCACCCTGGCTCAGGACCCAGATTTAAAATACACAGCCACCCCCCGTTTGCTCATTCTCTATGGCTCCTTTCAGTCCAAGAATTCAGTAGCTGAATAAACACAAGGCCCACAAAGCCTAAAGTAAAGGCACATCTCATGTTATTGTACTTTGCTTTACTGTGCTTTGCAAATATTGCATTCTTTCGAAACTGGAAGGTGTGTGGCAACCCCACAAAGAGCAAGTCAATCAGCACTGTTTTTCCAACACTATTTGTTCACTTCATGTCTCATTTTGGTAATACTAATATTTCAGACTCTGTCATTATAATATTTGTATGGTGATCTGTCATCAGTGATCGTTGATATCACTACTGCCATTGTTTTGGGGTGCCACAAACCACACCCATCACACAGGACAGTGAACTTGATAAATGAGTGTGTTCTGACTGCTCCACCCACCAGCCGTGCTCCCGTCTCTCCCCGTCTCCTCGGGCCCCTGTTTCCTGAGACACAGCAGTATTGAAATTGGGCCAAAAAATATAAACCCCACAATGACCCCTAAATGATCAAGTGAAGTGAAGAGTCACACATCTCTCACTTTAAATCAAAAGTTAGAAACGATTAAGCTTAGTGAGGAAGGTATGTCAAAAGCCAGAATAGACCAAAAACTACACCAAGCAGTTAGCCAAATTGTGAATATAAAGGAAAATTCCTGAAGGAAATTAAAAGGGCCATAACAGTGAACATACAAATGATAAGAAAAGGCAAGCAGCCTTATTGCCAACATGGAGGAAGTCTGAGTGGTCTGGATAGAAGATAAAACCAGCCACAACATTCCCCTAAGCCAAAGCCTAATCCAGGGGAAAGCCCCAGCTCTCTTAGTGCTATGACGTTTGAGAGAGGTGAGGAAGCTGCAGAAGAAAAGTCTGAAGCTAGCAGACATTTGATGGTGAGGATTAAGGAAAGAAGCCGTCTCTATAACATGGAAGTTCGAGGCAAAGCAACAAGTGCTGATGCAGAAGCTGCAGCAAGTTCTCCAGAAGATCTAGCGGAGATCATTCAGGAAGGTGACTACACTACACAACAGATTTTCAGTGTGGACCAAATAGCTTTCTGTTAGAAGAAGATGCCACCTAGGACTTTCACCATCAGAGAGAAGTCACTGCTTGGCTTTAGAGCTTCAAAGGACAGACTGACCCTCTTGTGAGGGGCTCATGCAGCTGGTGACCTGAAGTGGAAGCCAATATCCATGTACCATCCTGAAAATCTTAAGGCCCCTCAGAATCCTGCTAAATCTACTCTGCCTGTGCTCTGTGAACAACAACACAGCCTGATGACACTACATCTGTTTACAACATGGTTTGCTGACTACTGTAAACCCACTGTTGAGATCTACTTACTGCTCAGAGAAAAAAGATTCCTTTTAAAACAATGCTGCTCACTTTGAACAGATATGCTAACTTGAAAGTACTTAAGAGTGAGAAATAACAATTTAACAGTAACATTTGGGGATTTCAATACCTCATTCAATAACGGACAGATCTAGGTGGCTCAGTTGGTTAAGTGTCTGAGTCTTGATTTCAGCTCAGGTTATAATGTCACGGTCATGGGATTGAGTCCCATCAGGCTCTGCACCTGCCCTTACTCAACCTATTTGCCACACCTGATCATTATCCCTTCCTGAAAGCTCTCTAGAATCCCATCCTCACTGGCTGACCTCCTCAACACCCAACACTAGAGTGATCAACCTGGGAACCTCTTCCCTTCTGTCTACACTTACTGAGAGACTACATCCAGATTTATGGCTTCAAATAACAAATGTATACAAAAGACTCCCGCAATTTCATCTCCAACCTCCCCCAGGAGCTCCACACTCATATATCCAACTGTCTACCTGATACTTCCAAAAGAGAACCTAATAAACACCCCAAATTCAGCACAGCCCAACAGAACTCATACCTGCCCCTCAAACCTGGTGCTCTGAGGCCTTCCCAATCTTAGTAACCAGCAAACCCATCTTTCGGGTTCCTCAGGCCCAACACTCACAGTCATCCTTGATTCTTCTCCTGCTCTACAAACTCACATCCAAATCCTCAGATCTAGTGTGGTACTACCTTCAAAAATATACCCTGAATCTGACCATTCTTCATGACCATGTGTGTTACCACCACCGTGGTCCCAGCGACCTCTCTCCGCTGGACCCTTCAGCGGCCTCCACCACTCTCCTGCTGCTGTTCCTCACACTTCTCTCCTCACGCCCTACAAGGCCCCAGGCCATCTGATGCCCCACTACCCTCTGGCCTCAATCTCCACGTTCCCCTTAACCACACCTGTTATGGGCTCAACTACGTTTCCCACAAAACTCATATGAAGTCCCAACCTGAAGTATGTCAGAATGTGACTGTACAGTTGCCTCTCAAACTACATGGGGGTTAGGGGCACCAACCCCTCACTGTGTCATCAAAAATCCTGGTGTAACTTTTGACTCCCCCAAAACTTAACTACTAATAGCCTACTGTTTACCATAAGTCTTACCGATAACAAGCAATTAACACTTATTTTGTAACGTTATATAATGTGTTCTTAATACCTAACTTAATTTTTTCATTATTTTGAGGCTGCAGTTTATCTGAGTTTTTTCAAATTGTTGCAAATCTCCAAAAAATGTTGCTTTTATTGAAAAACATTCATGTAGAAGTGGACCTGCACAGTTCACTTTTTCCCTGTGTCAACTATAGTTAGAGACAATTAAGGTTAAATGAGATCACTACGGTGGGCCCTAATCCAACGCACCTGGTGTCCTTACAAGAGGAGATTAAGATGGACACACCCCCCACTCCACCCCCAACACTTTGCCAACACTTTGACCTTGGCTTCTAGCCCCCAGGACCATAAGAAATCGAAGCCTTGTGTGTGGTACCTGGGTTTTGGCAGCACTGGCTGGGCTGCACCACATTCACGCCCTGTTTTTCCTCGGCACATCAGGCACATCCTGCACGCCCGTCACAGGGCCTGAGCAGTCACCTGCCCCGGAGGCAGGGCTGTGGATTCTACTAAGTCCATTTTCAAGCTGCTGAAATGGAGGCCTAAGGGTATTAAATGACTTGCCCAAGTAAAACGCAACAGAAAAGACCAAATCAAATTTTATCTGGTTCGGTGATGTATGTGAAATATCTCCACACTTGACTGATACTCATACTTACAGAGAAAAAAAATAAAGAAACTACTCACTTTTCCACCCAGAGCACTGAGACAAGCTTCACACCTCTCTTCTGTGCTTTGTCCCAAGTGCTCTGATATCCATCTTTGAACACCACGTGAGTTACTTGTTTGTTAAAAGTTTTTGAAACCTGTAGACAAAAGGCAGAAAACAAAATGTAAATTACCATTTGTGAACAATTTCATAAGTAAAACTGATCAAAAAGGACACTTCATTCAATATTCGTCGAAAGAAAAACATCAAAACTGCCTATCCCAGCAATTCCATTTCCCAGAATCTGTCACACAGAACCACTCTAACAAATGCACAAGGTTAAAAAGCCTATCTGCTCCAGTTGGGATGGTGTTTTATGCACGTGTTTATCTCTACTCTCTCTCAAAAAACCTCTGACCTAAAGCGTTAGAGCTGGCAATGCATCTTCAGTACAGGAGAGAATGGGAGCTGAGTCAGGTAATTAAGGACATTTAAGATAACCTTTCTACATCAAAGACATAAAATGAAATGCACAGAAAACAGACATAAAAAGAATATTTACAAAATTGAAATTAAAACACTTATTTAACATATTTGGAAGAAAATAACATTCATTTAAATTTTCAGAAAATGCTATGTTCGTTAAAAATTATCTCTAAGATGGGAAGGTTATTTTTTTTAAAAGAGCTCTTGGAAATTAAAACTATGATGCCATAAGTAAAAAAAAGAAAAAAAGCCTATAGAAATGCTATAATAAAGTTGTTATAATAAAGTTGACAAACTCTCCCCTGAAGGACAACAAAAAGACAAGGAGATGGATGCAGAAGATAAATAACAGCATCAGCTCTGACCAGGAGAGCCAACAGCTAAGTAAGAATAGTTGAAGAAATACCAGGATAGAGAAAATGGAAAAGAAGTCAGGAAAGAAATAATTCAAGAACTTCTCATATGAAAGGGGTGCATTCCAGATCAAATGAACCCCTAAGGGCCCAGCAGAGAACGAAAGCAGCACCACACTAAGCATATCATGACATTTCAGTACAACTGGAGCAAAGAAAGATTTACAATTAAATCTCTGAAGGTGAAGGTGGGGATAAATCACACTCAACAGTGAGACAGGACAATGGCATCAGGCTTCCCAAAAGCAATCTAGAAGTCAGAAAACAATGAAAAGTGCCTTCGAGGAAAAATAATATAGACCTAGCATTTTACAATCAGCTAAAATATCAAAGATAAAGAAAAGTTTAATAAAGTCATGTTCAAACTCTTAGTGTCAAACATTTTTCCTTTTATATGTAATCTTTCCAGAAGTGGAAGTCATGTAATACGTAACTCTTTCAACATTTAATTTTATCAAAATAATATATGCACAGTTTGGAAACATAAAGGTAAGTATCAAAAGAAACAAAACAGATCTGAAAAAGGCTGCCTTAAAAAAATAGAACGGGAAGTGTAGAGCAGAAGATTGTTGGTGTCTCTGTTTTTACTATGAACTTCACGGCACCATACATTTGCCCTTTTAAGCAACATGTACTCATCGCTCTGATAAAATACACATACATATCTCTGTCTACCTACCTACCTACCGGAAGGCTCTGGAGAGCTATGGAGGCAGTGAGGGATTCTTACTGAGCCACGATTCTAGGCACAGATGGACACAATCAGAGATAAGAGTCTAGCATTCAGGGTTGTTTCTTTCCCAAGGCTTTGTGATATTTAGCAAACACTGGGTAGCACTTCTAAATGCCTCTGAGGACAAGGGGGACAAAAAACTGGACTGCCAGCCTCGGAATGGTAATGTGCAAAACCTCAGATCCTGGACAGAGACCCAAAGGGCTGATACAGGACCAAGGGTGAATCACACATACAGAGGCCCACACAGGCCTTCCAGTTTTAAACCTTCCAGTTTTAAATCATCTCCAATCCTGCAATTGGATTAAGATAATCCTGGATTATGAGCACTAAAAACATCTTGACTGAAGCAAATTTGAATCTCTTTTGAAAAAAGAGAATACAATTCTAGGTCTCTAATTCTGAGCAATCTTTAAATATATACAATACTCAACAACAACAAAAAAAAGCAAAAGAAAACAAATACCCAACAACAAACAAAATATCAAGCTTATCTAGAGATGAGGTAAGAAGATAAACCACTAGATGGGGTGCCCGGGTGGCTCAGGTTGTGATCTCACAGTTTGCAGGTTCGAGCCCCACGTTGGGCTCTGTGCTGACAGCTAGCTCAGAGCCTGGAGGCTGCTTTGGATTCTGTGTCTCCCTCTCTTTCTGACCCTCCCCTCCTCACGCTTTCTGTCTGTCTGTCTGTCTCTCTCTCTCTCAGGAATAAATAAATCATGAAAAAAATCTTTTTTTAAAAGAAGATAAACCATTAGATAAAACAAAAAGTAAAAGCAGAACTAGATATTGCAATTTACCCAACAAAGCCGTGTGTAAGGCAGCTAAAGCCCTGCTTCAGGAGAAACTTGTAAGTACAATGCTATGGAGAGCTTAGCTAAGCGAGTCCAGGGTACTGCTGCCTCGGCATCCATTTTGTTCAGCCAAGGGGCCTGCAGGGGTCTCAACCCAGCACTAACCCCTCATGCAAGCGCACACCCTAGACAACAGCCCCCAGCCCCCTAGATAACAAGCAAATATTAGTTCCCCAGGGGCCCCTGTGATCAACCATCTCCTTCAGCTCCAAGGTCCTTCCCCTTGTGTGCCTCTTAAGTAAGATCCCATGGAGCTACCAAAACCTGTTTTTTTTTTTTGGCTTTAAACAGTATTTATAATTGTTTAGGAATCTACAGTCAGCTGGGTAGTTTTTTTTTTTCTAGATTAGTCTGCATTTTATTTATTTTTTTTTTTTTTACAAATAGTTTGTCAAATTAAAACCTCACTTTTCGATGTGAACTGATTAATCCAGCCCTAGACTAAGAAACCCAAAGCATCCATCCTTGAGTCCTGCCTTCTCTCTCCCCATGTGGCCCTTCAAGGTATGCCATGTATCTCCTCCAGGACCTGTTTCAGTTTCTCTATAGCCTGTTGTTGAACTCTGTTCACCATTCAGCACCCTGTGTTCCACTTAAATGTTAATTTAACAAAGTCATAAAAAATGCATATATAAAAAGAAGGTTGAAGATCAATGCACCCATCTGAAAAAGCTAGAAAAAGGGCTAATTAAAACCAAAGACTGAGTTAGGGGATTATAAAAATGAGGCCAGAATTAATAAAAGTGAAAAAGACCATCAAGAACACCAAAAGTTGGTTCTTTGGAAAAACTAATAAAGTCAGTAAAACCCAGATAAACGTTATAAGGAAAATAAGAGAAAAGGCACAAATAACCTTTTTTCATTATTTTGGTATGAAGGGATCATCACTATATATCATGAAGACATTAAAAGATTCAAACAGATTTTGAATAGCTTTGATCCAATAAATTTGAAATTTTATATAAAATGGATACATTTCATAAAAAAATACCAGCTTTCTAAAATCGCTTATAAGAATAGAAAAAATGCATAATACTGTAATTTTCAAACAAATTAAACACTAACAAAATTTTTTTTAAAAATCAACAAAGACAACTCCAGGACTAGTTGACTTCATCAGTGAATTATGGCAAAAATTTTTAAAAGAAATAACACCAATCCCATGCCAATTTAGAATAAAAAAGAGTCACAATTCTGCAACTTGTTTTATGAAACCAGCATGTTAGTACTAAACCACATAACGGCACTACAGGAACAGAAAATGACTAGCCAGTATCCCTCCCTGAAATATTTGCAAAGAAAAAGAAAGCAAACCGTATCAACAATTATATCAAAAGGCGAGTATACCCCCACCCCTTCAGTTTATTCCAGGACTGCAAGGCTAACACTGAAATAAAGTTATTCCTACATTAATAAAAGAGAAAAATCTTATTTTCATTTCACTACATGCAGAAAACACATTTGGTGAAATCAAAAAGTTGATTCATGAAGAAAACACTTAGGAAATTAGGATATGATGTTAAAAAAAATTGCATTAACTATGTAATAGGTCTTATATATGTAATAAAAAAACAAAACAGAATCATAAATACAGAGAACTGTCGGCTACCAGAGAGTAGAGAGGTGAAGAAATGGGCAGAATATGTGAAGGTTATAAAAGGCACAAACTTCAGTTACAAAATAAGTCATGGAGATGAAAGGTACACCATAGGGAATACAGCCAATAATATTGTAGTAACTTTGGTGACAGATGGTAGGTAGCTAGATTTACCCTGGTGATCATTTCATAATGTACACAAATGTGGAATTACTACGTTATAAACCCGAAGCTAATATAACATTGTATGTCAACTACACTCCAATTAAAAAAAAAAAAATTGCATTAGGTGAACATGCCAAAAGTTGTCCTTGGAGAAGGGGAACCAGACAGATGCCTGATATGTGCACTATATTCAATGCTGGTCCTCACCGGTGCACTAGGTCAAGAAATAAAAGGTATGAGGATTAAAAAAATTGAAATAAAACTGTCCCATGCACATGATATTCAATTGTGTACATTTTTTTAAATCCTAAAAATGCCATATCTCATAAATGAGTTTGCTAAATCTTTTGGACACAACATGGATATGCAAAAATTAATTCTTTCTATATCCCCATATCAGAAAAAGGAATTTAGAAGAAGATACCATTTATAATAGCATCAAAAATGACCAGAGAAAACTATAAAACATTACTGAAATTGAACCAAAACCAACAAAGGCATACAAGTTCATGAGCTGGAAAATTCAACTTGATAAAAATGTCAGTTCTCTCCATACTGATCTATTTTTATCAGTCTGATCCTATTCAAAAATTTTTAAAAGCTTTATGCTGTAAATTGACAAAGTGATTCTAAAATCTATTTGGAAAAGCGAAAAGGCAAAGAACAGCCAGGACATCCTGAAGGAAAAGAAAGACAACTTACGAAGATTGGTTATAAAGAACAATGAAAGACTGGTTCGTCATGAGAACAGGTACGGAAACATATGGTTCTGAGGACCAAGGCATTACTTCGGAGACTGGCTAAAGGAGACTTTTCAATGAATGGTGCTAAGATAAAAGGGTATTCACATAGGGGAAAAAAAGAGAGAACTATTTCATACCATATATAAAAATCAATTCTAGATGCACCATGAATCTAGATGTGAAAGGCAAAACGATAAAGCTTTCAGAAAACACAGGAGAAATCTTTATAACCTTGGTATAGGCACAGAGAGTTGTGTTGTTTTTTTTAAACAAGACACACAACAGAGCTCACCATAAAGAAATAATCTGTGATACGATTATCAACAAAAGATACCATAAAGATGAAAAAATAAACCACAGAGTTAATTGAAAATCTTAACAATTCATATGGCCGACAGTGGGGTCAACTGAAAGAGACAGAATGGTTACAAGTCAAGAAGAGAAGGAAATACCCAATGGAAATGAGCTGGAGCCCTGGACAGGCTCAAAATAAATACATGAAGACATGCAGGAAAATACAATTTCTAACCATGATCATCTACCACCAGACACGCACTGGATGCGGACAGAAAGACAAAGCCAAGTGCAGTCAGCAGTGGCGCTCTCCTACGCTGCCAGAAACATCTGTCGGCTGATCGGAACCAACACTAACTTCCTCAGATGCGGCCGTCTATCACACCTGAAAGCGGCTTGTTCTCAGAGGATATACACCGAACCTATCTGGGGGCAAACTGTATCTGGGGACTTCCTTTCAAATAGTTTAGGAAAAAACACATACATATGTAAGGCTACTGCATAGCAGAGATGATGATGAAAAAAGTTAATGTGCTAACAATTATTGGGTCTCTATGTTCAACTTTCCTATTTGAAAATTTTCTAAATTAAAAGGTGAAAAACAGGGGCGCCTGGGTGACTCAGTCGGTCAAGCATCTGACTCGTGATTTCGGCTCTGTCATCATCTCACAGTCCATGTCAGGCTCTGCACTAACAGTGTGTTGATTCTCTCCCTCTCTCGGCCCTTCCCCTGCTCGCTCTGGCTCTCTCAAAAATAAATAACCTTAAAAAAAAAAAAAGGTGAAAAGCAAACAGATCCAAGAAATCGAAGATCTTGATACTACTCTTAAAAACCATTTTGTCAACTCCCACACTCATGGCCTTTTTCTCAGCCACAGTGATTTGTCTTTTAGCCCAAGTATGTAGCAGGTATCAATACAAGGCCTTTGGTCTCTCCATCAGGGTAAGGACTAGGATAACAAAATTTAGGAGCGCCCTCTCTGCCCGCAGGTGAGTCCTCCTTGGGTCTGACACCCCAGGTGCCTCTCTTCCCTCAGCCTAAACTCTGGCCCTGCCTTCAAGGATCTCATCTAGTTAATCTCTCCCTTCAACTCAGCCTACCCCCCCCCCCACACACACACACAGACAAGTGCACTTTGTTCACAGGTGAATTCCCTCTGAGAGCAGCCTACCTTTACCACCTACATTCTCTGTAGCTCATTCACTCCTGGGCTAACTTCCAATCCTTTTACCCATTTCACCGGAAAACTGCGCCACTCCACAATAACCTGAGAGTTTTCGAACCTAAAGTATATATATGCCAGTCTCAATTCGTCTTAGGATTCCACATGGTTTTAAAGTTCCATCTTTAGGGGCGCCTGAGTGGCTCAGTCCGTTGAGCGTCGGACTTCCGTTTAGGTTGTGATCTCGCCATCTGTGAGTTGAGCCCTGCGTCCATTCTGTGCTGAATGTTTGCTCAGAGCCTGGAGCCTGTTTTGGATTCTGTGTCTCCTCCTCTCTGCCCCTCCCCGGCTCACACTGTCTCACTCTCTCAAAAGTAAATAGAAATGTAAAAAAATAAAAATAAATAAATAAAAAATACAAAGTTCCATCTTTAGTTCATCCCTCCTGAGAAAGGCAGACTTGTTTTCCAGAATCTCCTGGCATCCTGCCTCGGCTCCAGGGTCCAGGGCTCCCAACACCTGCCCCAAACACTAACCAGGCTCCTTCCACCTCAGCACCTTTCACCAGAACCAGTATCACACCCGTGGTCTCACTTGACCCCCAGGGGATCGACCTTAAATTGTTATCTCGAGCCTTCACGATCTCAAATGCTGGATTTGTGCATCCGAATGTCTGTTGGAGGTTTTCAAAACGCCCAAATTCACAATCTTTCCCTTAAAAACCCTTTTTGTCTCCTTGTATTTCTCACTTGGGTGAACAGCTTCCTGCGTCCCATGAACCGATGGCAGGACCGGAGTTTCTGGCCTGGAGTCTCCTCCCTCCGCCGGGAAGGCCAGCGGTCTGAGACCCTCCTGTGGTACCTGGTCCCCTCACGGTCCGCCCACGCCCACCGCACCTGCGGTCTCCTTCGTCCTTCCCTCGGGCTCTCAGCAGGGACTCGCCCGGCAAGAAACGCTAGTACTTCTGGGGCGCCTGGGTGGCTTAGTCGGTTGAGCGTCCGACTTTCGCTTAGGTCACGATCTCGCGGTTCGTGGGTTCGGGCCCCACGTCGGGCTCTGTGCTGACTGCCAGCTCGGAGCCTGGAGCCTGTTTCAGTCTGTGACTCCCTCTCTCTCTGGCCCTCCCCTGCTCACGCTGTCTTTCTCTCTCTCCTTGAAATAAAAAAAAAAAAAACAAAAAAAAACGCTAGTACTTCTCACCATGTCCAGAGGAGCCCGCGGTAAAACCACTTTCTTACCTTCGCCCCCATGTCCACAAGCTGGTTTGTAAACGTCTTCGAGTAGTTTTCTGTTCCGTTCGCCGACCAGACTTCAACATATGCCACAACGTCTGAAAACAAAGGAGACATTAACGCGCAACACGGGGGGGGGGGGGGGGCCTGGGTTAAGGACCCCACTTCTCTCAGTCCTGATCTAGGCGAGCTCTGTGCTGACCGCAGGGCCTGCTTGGGATGCTCGCGCTCTCAAATAAACAAACATTAAAATATTTTTTTTAAAAAGCCACAACACGCAATATATTTGAAATCCTAGCCTTCCTCTCCAAGGCTTTCAACAGATTTTCATCTTGTGCTACTTACACCAACAAGGAAACTTAAAGCTTCTAACAAAAACCTCTTCCACATAGCATCAGTGCTGCTGTCGGGGTTCTCGAAACCTCTAGCGAAGGAGTTACTCGTGCGCGTGGGGGCTGCACGCGCTTCCCAAACTCCGACCCGCGCTGACCTTTTCTAGGGAAGATGTCCTCTGTAAAGGACCATACAGCCACCCAGCTTCGCGTACCTCATGGGCGCGGGGGGGGGGGCAGCCCCCACACCCACGGGGGCCGGGATACACGGGACGGCCCCCACACCCTACAGGGACGGTGACGGCACCCACGGGGGGAGCAGGGCCATGACAACCCTCCACTCCCCACAAGGACACCGCGCACGGGCGGTGACAGTGCTGGGCACGGGGACAGCCCCCCCCTCCCCACAGGGACACCCACAGGGACGGTGACAGTGCTGGGCACGGGGACAGCCCCCCCCTCCGCACAGGGACACCCACAGGGACGGTGACAGTGCTGGGCACGGGCACAGCCCCCCTCCCCACAGGGACACCCACAGGGACGGTGGCGGTACTGGGCACGGGGACAGCCCCCGACTCCGCACAGGGACGGGGACAGCCCCCCACCCCCCACAGGGACCGGGACGACCACGCACTCGGGACCGCCCCCCTCCACAGGATGCCCGGCTGACTTCCGGAAAGGCCAAGCTCCCCTCCGCACGAGCCCGGCGAGCCGCGTCCACACGCTGGCCGAGACCCGGGCGCCCGCCCGGCAGCCGCCCTCCGCCTCCGCCTCCGCCTCCACCCCAGAGTGCAGGAAGCCCCCTCACCCGTCAAGACCCCGCCGCCCGGCGTCCCGGGAGCCTCCATGAGAGACCCGCCAGCCGCGAACCCGCTGCGCCGTTCCGAGCCGCGCGAGCCAGGAGCGAGGGGCACTGAGCATGCGCAAGACTGACGTGCGCCCCTCCCTTCCGGCTCTGAGGGAATCCGCCGTCCGCGTTTTCTACACAGCCTGGGGGAGGGGGAGGGGGAAATTATTAAAGTCTCAGCTGGTGTTCAAGGGGGCCGAGGGGCCGTTCCAGCGCCGGACGCAGGTTCGTCCCGCGCTCTAATACTGCAGGTCGGCGCCCCCTCTGCGAGTCTTTCGGTCCTCTGGGGCATTACTGGGACGGACGTCCCCAAAACCCAAGTCAAACCCTTCTGTCTCGGTAAGGGCATCTGGAGGCTTCCCGGAACCCCACCTGGCGCCCCCGGGAGCGGCGGACGCTAAGGGGGCACAGTCCTGGCTCGCAGGCTCCGCGGGCTTCCGGGAGGTAACTGCCCAGAATCTCCCACGGCGGAGTCACCCGCACCCCCGCGCACGGGCCCTCGCGCGCCCCCTTGTGGTCAGCGCGCGGGATTCCGGCTCGCGGCGCCGGACCGCTGCTCCCCCGCGGGCGCGAGACCCCAGGCCTCAGAGTCCACGGGGGAGCCCGCAGTGATGTGGCCTGGACCTCAGATCCCGCGGCGGGCGTGGGGGGCGAAGGGGAAGGGCCTCACACCCTACTAGGGGGATACCGAGCCTCAGACCCCCGCTGGGGGGACCCCAACCTCAGGTCTTGCGGGGGCTGGGGCGTGAAGCGGAGCGGGGTCTCGGACCCCGCTGGGGGGACCCCGGACCTCAGACCCTGCAGGATTAGCCCTCAGACCCTGCGGGAGGCGGAGGGAGCCGGGTTTCAGACCCCGCTGGCGGGTGGGGACCCCCAGACTTAGGCCCTCTTCGGAGACGGGAGGGAGCCGAGCCTGAGACCCCCGCTGGGGCGACCTCGGACCTCAGATCTTAAGGGAGGCGGGGAGCCAAGTTGCAGACCCCGCGGGGGGCCCTGGGGACCCGGGACCTCAGATCCTGAGGGGAGCGAAGGGAGCCTGGTCTCGCACCGGTCCACGGGGACCCCGCGCATCCGCCCAGCGGGAACCGCAGATCCCGGCCAGGGACGTACCCTAAACCTCAGACTCGCGAGGCGGGGGCGCCTTGCTGGGCCGTCCCGCGCGAGCTGTGCCGCCCGCAAATCCCGGAGCGGACTCCTCCGGGCGGGAGCGGACGATCCCGGGCCGGAGCGTGGAAGCCCGGCGTTGGGGAGCCCTGCCACCGCGCGGTGCAGCCTCCCAGCCATTCAAACCTCCCGCCCGCGGAGCCCCGCCCACGCCCGCAGGGCCCGCCCCCTGCGCTGCGCGCGCAGCCGGCCCCTGGGCCGGGCTGCGCGAGCCGTCACGTGCTGCGGGGGAGGCCGTTCAGGGCTGGGAAGGGCTTGCCTGGTTATTGATAAAAATTGTGTTCAATCTCCCGAAACACCGAATCGGTGAAAGGATCCACGCCATCTGCATTAAAGGATGAACCACCGAATGTATAAAAACCTTCATTTCTGATGATTTCAGCACCATCTTTGTGTTTTGGGTTTTTTTTAATTTTTTTAAAGTTTTTTTAATGTTTTATTTATTTCTAGGAGAGAGAGAGAGAGAGACAGCGTGAGCAGGGGAGGGTCAGAGAGAGAGGGAGTCACAGACTGAAACAGGCTCCAGGCTCTGAGCTGGCAGTCAGCACAGAGCTTGACGCGGGGCTCGAACCCACGAACCGCGAGATCACGACCTAAGCGAAAGTCGGACGCTTAACCGACTAAGCCACCCGGGCGCCCCATGAAAAACAGAATTTTAAAGTTAAAGGGACTCCCTTGTAACCTAATGACTAGAGTACGGGCTTCAGTTTGGAATCGGACTGGACCTGGACTTTGGGAACTACTATCCGACCCTCATTAGCTGTGAGATACTGGTAGGTATGTATTTCCTCCTAGGTTCTCAATAAAATTAGGTAATTTTAGAGGGGTTCATTATGGTATCCTGGGGCAACAGTGCACTCATTCTCCCCTCCTCACCTCCCACTCCTTTACAATTAAGAAAGCGTGGTCTTACCCTACTTCGGGTCATTTTATGCGCATAAAGGCTCTGTTAGAAAAAGTAAGCAGTATTATCTCGTTTACACAAATAAGTAATCAGGTTCAAGGGAGGTTACCTGACCAGTCCAAGGCAACATAGCCAGTAACTAGTGGTGTCAGTTGGAACCGGAAACCATACCTTTAGGACTTTTTTACTAAGTCTAGTGGCAGGATATACGTACATGAATATGCACTGCCATCCTCTGCAGGCTTCCTTTCATCCAACCACTCACTCATCCCCGTTTGTTACAACAGCTGTTAATAGGATCCGACCTATTGTCACTATTGTTCGAGGCTTCTCCTTGCTGCCGCTGCGCCGGTAGACAGGTGAGCCCCTGCTCGAGCTTGTAATAAAGACCCTTATGTACTTGCATCGGTGACAGCTCCTTAGGGGTCTCAGGGGACTCACGATTCGGGCACAACAAAATCACTGCATCAAAGATACATTTTTGTGTCATCGGGAAAAATATATGTAAAATTAAATCACTATCTCCTACCACACATAGAAATAAACCTAAAATGGATTGGGGACCTGAATGTAAAAAAAATGTAAACACACAAGAGCACACCAGTCACACGGGTAAAGGGTGGAATAACCTGGGTGTAGGGAAAAGGCTTTGTAATTGCAGCTCAAACAAAACCAGATGCAACAAAAGAATGGTTAAAAACAAAAGGCAACATACCATGAACAATTTCAAAAGGCATCCAATGGAGATCAGAGTTAGATTTAACGATGCTGTAAAGGATGGGAGGGAGGGGGGTCAAGGACCTCGTAGCCTGGAAGAGCTGGAAAAGGCCAGGAAACAGATCCTGCCCCAGAGCCTCCAAATGAAGCACAGCCCCCACAGCCACCGTGACTTTACTCCCGTGGGACTCGCCGCAGACTTGATTTCCAGAACTGCAAGATAATAAATTTCGTTGTTTGAAAGAAAAAAAAAGTAGGGAGGGAAAAAATGGCAACTGGAAAAGCTTAGTATTTCCAGCTTATTTTTTTAACTCTTAAAAGCTTAAGGAAAAAGACCAAATATTACATAGAAAAATGGGCCAAATAAGAGATTGCCAACCTTACTCATAATTAGAGAAATGTAATCTTTTTTTTTTCATGTTTTATTTATTTATAAGAGAGAGAGAGAGAGACAGCGTGAGCAGGGGAGGGTCACAGAGAGAGGGAGATACAGAATCTGAAACAGGCTCCAGGCTCTGAGCTGTCAGCACAGAGCCCAACTCAGGGCTCAAACCCACAAACTGTGAGATCATGACCTAAGCTGAAGTCAGACGCTTAACCCACTGAGCCACCCAAGTGCCCCTGAGAGAAATGTAATCTAAAACTACATGGAGGTATCATTTTCCTTTCAAATTGTCAAAAACAGGGGCCTCTGTGTGGCTCAGTCGGTTAAGCATCTGACTTTGGCTCAGGTTATGATCTCACAGTTTGTGATTTCGAACCCTGCATCTGGGTCTGTGCTGACAGCTTGGAGCCTGAAGCCAGCTTCAGATTTGGTGTCTCCTTCTCTCTCTGCATCGCCCCCCATTCCCCACCCCCGCTCACACTCTGTCTCTCTCTCAAAAGTGAATGAACATTAAAAAATTTTTAGCAAAAATAAAAATAAAATAATATTTGCAAGTATGTGCAAAAAGTAATCAGACAGGAAGGATAAACCCAAAGTGTAAGTGTTGGTTATGTACGGGGTGAAGAGTTGGGTCGGAGAGGAGGCCTGGGAACAGGGGAGAAGTGAGTGGGGCACTTCTGGGAGAATGCCTCTTTATAGTTCTAGTTTCTAGAATCATGTTAATGCACCATGTGCTCAGAACATACAAAGTCAGCAAGGACAGGGTAAAAAGCTTAAAATATCCGACTGTATTTCAAATAAATAACATAATGGTACTGAAGGGGAGGAAAAAAATAAGTAACTTTGGACACAGTAGTAAAAATAATAACCTTAAATAAATATCAAGTTTCGGTTAATTATTTTGTCTTTCACACGGGTAAAGGCTGGCAGTTTTGAAACTGTAGTTTACGTATACTTTAGTATTGCGCTGATCAATAATAGAGTGTGGGTCATAAGAACCAGGCTCAGTGCTAGAAAAGGGAGTTGCAAATACAAAAGAAGAGAAGGCCAGAATAAACTGGTGGAGTCGGTTTGGAATTGGTTGATGGTTCTCAACATGCAGAGAAATAGAGCAATAGACTTATGTGATCTGGAACAGGCATCCATATGTACATGGATATTGACTTGTATAAATGTACATTTATTCTCTAGCTCTGTCCTCTGGGAGTGCCTGTGATATCCCAGTAAGAAATGCACTATGGCCCAAAGTTTGGTTTCTGAATACCCTCTTCCACTAACAAAATAAAGTTTCCTTGATAAATGATGATATCAACACTTCATAACCCAGACTGAAAAAATAGGAAATCAGGAGTCCATATCCATACAAATCAATGAATAAATGAATAAGGCAGGAAACGCTTCATTATAGCAGTATTCTACTATAAATTTGAAAGAATGACGGAATTACAATATCAGTAACTGACAACCATAACGTATTGCTTCAGACAACAATCATTAATTGATGTAAAAACGTGTGATTGAAAGTATAATGAGAAATGGCATTTTCACACACTCAAGACATCTCCCCATATCATTTGTAGTAATTGCAAAGGGGAAAAAATGGTAATTTTATATAGTGGAGAAACACATAATATAGGCAGCATCTGTAAAAAGTGATCAAATATCACCATCCTTTAGGACAAATACACTTCCATGCCTTGTGCTGTGATGAATGAGAAGGATACCATGGCACTTCTGGGCATTCCTGCCAATAATGCGTAGTAACTTGAATCTAATTCTGAGGAAACACCAGGCACATCCATGCTAAGGGATATTCTACAAAATAACTTTCCCGTTTGCCTCAAAAACATCAAAGTCATGAAAAACAAAGAAATATCTATACCAGATCAAAAGAAACTAAAGAGACATTTAGCAGCTACATAAAGTGTGCAATTCTGGATTGAATTAAGAACTGTAAAAAAATGTATACTTTTTTTTCCTATGAAGAATGTTACTGGAACAATTGGTGAAGGAAAAAGGCCCTTCTCTTAGGTAAGAATATTAGAGGGGCACTTGGGTAGCTCAATGGGTTAGGTGTCCGACTTCGGGTGAGGTCACAATCTCGCAGTTCATGAGTTCAAGCTCCACATCGGGCTCTGTGCTGACAGCTCAGAACCTGGAGCTGCTTCAGATTCTGTGTTTCCCCCTCTCTCTACCCCTTCTCCACTCATGTGCTGTGTCTCTCTCAAAAATAAATAAGCATTAAAAATTTTAAGAATATTAGATAAATGTGAATTCCCTACTTTGGATTATTATACTGGGGTTAGTGAGGAAAATGTCTTATTTTATGGAAATACACACTAACGGGTTTAGGGTAATGGAATGTCACATTTACAACTTCCTGTCACCTATTTCAGGGAAAAAAACACGTGCACACACATGTCCATTCATATATGTAGAGATGAAATGATAAATGTGGTAAATGTTAACACTTCAGTAATCTGGGTGAATGACTAGTAGGAATTCTTTGTACTATTTTTGTACTTTTTTATAAGCCTGAAATTCTTATTTTTCAATTTTTAATGTTTATTTTTGAGAGAGAAAGAGAGAATGCAAATGCACAGCAGAGAAGGGACAGGAAGAGAGAGGGAGAGAGAGAATCCCAAGCAGCCTCTGTGCTGATAGAGTGGAGCCTGATGCCGGCTCCATCTCACCAACTGTGAGATCATGACCTGAGCTGAAATGAAGAGTCAATGAATGCTTCACTGACTGAGTCACCCAGGTGCCCCTAAGCCTGAAATTCTCTAAAAATAAAAAGGTTACAACAATTGTGGCAGGAAAAGTAGCTGACTGGGCTAGACTGGGCTCACCCCCAGGTTCTAATCCCTCAAGGGGGAAGACAAACACTGGCCTCAAGTATGGGGTGGCCTCGACCTGCCCATTGTGGTTCCCATCAGCTGGAATGTACATGGGAATAGCAAATAAGGGGGCCACGAATACTCAAGCAAGAAATCAATGTAATCATTTT